ACCCCGGGAATGGTGGTGGAATAAACTCTGCCAATCCCAAAATTGGTGCCTTGGGGTGGTTTTTCCTAAAAAAACCAGGACCCCCCTGGAGTTCTGTACATCGGGAGAGGGTGGATTTGAGGAGATTTCCCTCTCCTGCTTTTTCCAGCTGCATTCCCAGCCTTTGCTGCTCCAGACAGTTGCCCTCTGCCCTCTGGGAATGTGATGGAAAAAACAGGGAATCTTGTTAACCCGACCTGAGGGATGTGGGAATTGCTTTTCCCTGAAGAAAGGCCAGGGAGTACCAACCTTTTCTCCTTTCTCCCCCGGAATTCCCGAGGCTCCGGTGTTTCCCGCCGCTCCCTGTTCCCCCTGGAAGGAGCCAAGAGGAAAAATCGTGGCTGATGTGGCCCTGGCAAGGCTGGAATTTCCTGGATGGACAAGGAATTTCCTTGTCTTCGGGTCATGGAGTTATTCGCTGAGGAGAGGGGAAAATTCCAGGAAAAATTCCCATTCCTTGACAATTCCAACAGGGCCGGGGGGGTGGGTGAAGCCGGTTGAGAAGCATTCCCTAGTTGAATCCCAGTTTTCTGGGGTCAGCCTGGGGGATGGGAATGGGAAACCTGACTCGTGGAGATGAGGAAAATCCCCCATCCCAGCGTCCAAACGTCTCCACCCGGATCCACGTCGATTTATGGGAACGGATTCCCAATAATCCCAATTCGAAAGGAATAAACACTTGGCAGAGGGGGATTTGCAGCAAAGCTTTTGGGAAAACCTTATTTATGGAACTGGGGGAGTTTTAAGGTCCCTTCCCACCCAAATCCACCCTCTGTGATCCCATAATTCCAGACGCTCGCCTTTGCTCCGTGCCGTCCATCCGATCCCGGCATTCCCGGTTTTCCAGGACTTCCCCTTTCTCCCTGTGGGTGGAAAAGAAGCGGATGGGCCGTGAGGACAAATAGAAGCCCCGAAAAACTGGGAAAAGTGGCTCTGGAAAAAGCAAGGAGAAGGATAATTAAAGGGGGAAAATCAAAGTGCAGGTAAAGTCTTAATTAAGGCCGTGAATTTTTTAGATCTAAATTTAACTAAGGTCTAATTTCACTAATTAGACTCCTGGAATTAATTGAAACTAATTTAACCCGGCTCATTTTAAATCACCACGGATTTTAGGTCGTCTCCCATCCCCGGGCTCAGCTCCGGGAAAGTAGGTGGGGAAAATTCCGAGGGAAATATCAGTAAAATAATATTAATGGGGGGAAAAAAAAGTGGGAAATATTAATTAAAAAGATGAATAAAGCATTAATATATTAATTTGAACGCCCTCTTAATTTTAAGGCCCTTCCTGCCTCCAGTTCCGCCGTGAAAAATATGAATAAAATATTAATATATTCATTTTAATGCCCTTTTAATTTTAACGCCCTTCCTGCCTCCCGTGGGATTTGGGATCTCAAAGGAGTCGTCGTTGCTTTGACTGATTTTTTTTTGGGAAAATATCATTCCCAAGGTCTCTCCTGCCCTCCTCTTTCCCACAGATCCCTGTTTTCCACCCTCCCTGGAAGTTGGGGGTTGGGTTTTTCCTTCTGCTGCGTTTCCTGGGAGCGTTTCCCTCGTTCGGGATGAATCCTGAGGGTGCAGATGAGTCGGGATTTTCCCTCGTTTTTCCCGAGGTTCCAGACTAAAAGACTTTGTTTAAATGTTCTGGGAGAGCCGGGAATTCAAAATTATCGGGGATAATCCCGGAGAGAAAGAAAAGGAAAGGCGGAGAGCGAAGCCAAAGGAAAACATTAACAGCAACACCAATAATAATTACAATTATAACGCCAATAAAGCCACATCCCACGGGCTCAGCCCCCAACAGCTCCCTGATTTCTCATCCAAGATTTTAAAACCTTCCATAAAAAGCTCATTAAGGGTCATTATCTGGTTGTTTAGGGAGCAAGGACTAATGAGGAACTAGAACGGAGCCCAGGCCGTTGCTAAGCCACGGATCAGGAGGGGATTTAAGCCAGGCCTGGGTTAGTTTTTGTCCCAGATTATCCAGAAGTTCCCCTGGAATCTTTAAAACCTCCATATCACTGTCTCCCTGTTCCTCGTGGGCTTCCCAGTGGGATTTGTCCCACCGGAGCTGGGTGGGTCCTTCCTGCTGGGAAATGGGAATCAGGGATTATCCCACCTTGGTGCCTTTGGCTCCGGGAGCGCCGGCGAGGCCCGGAAGTCCCGGGAATCCCTGAGGAGAAAGGGAGATCCCACGGGGTTGGTGTTAAATCAAGGAATTCTGAGACGTTCGACGGGAACCAAGCCCGGAAAAGCTTCGGAATCTCTCCAAGGACGGAGATTCCATAGGATGTTCCCCCCCATCTCCTACCTTTGCTCCTTTCTGCCCGGCGTCACCGGCGGTCCCGGGATCGCCTTTCCATCCCTACGTGGGAAAAAAAAAAAACCAGGATAAACATTCCATGGTGATGGATCCAACCCCGGGGATAACTCGGGAGGAATTTTGTGGTTTTGTTGCGTTTTCCAGCGCCAGAAGCTCCTGGAAAATTGGGAGCTCGTGGTCAATTTGTTGCTGGAACGGGACAGGGAATGACCTGGGAGAAGGTCGGGGTTGTAGGGAAGCGCGACAGGACGGGAAAAGTTTGGAAAAACCAAAGGGGAAAACCTCCAGGAATTTGGTTTATCTCCAGAAAATTCCCAGGAAACGTCACCCTGAAGATGCATTTTTTTTGTTTTGTTTTTTATTTTATTTTATTTTTGGGGGGTTTTTTTGGTTGTTTTGTTTTGGGTTTTTTGTGGTTTTCTTTTTTTAATTATTTTTTGTCTGTTTTTGTTTTTGGTTTTTTTTTAATTTTTTTTTGTTTTGGGTTTTTTGGAGTTTTTTTTGGTTGCTTTGGTTTGGTTTTTTTTTATTGTTTTGGGTTTTTTTGGAGGGGATTTTTTGTTTGTCTTGGTTTGGGGATTTTTTTTAGTAATTATGGGTCATAGTCTCCCATCCACGATCAGGAAGTTATTTGGGGGGTTTTTTTGGTTGTTTTGTTTTGGTTTTTTTCGGGGGTTTTCGATTTTTTTTCCTGTTTGTTTTTTTTTTCTTTTTTTGTGATTTTTTGGGCTTTTTTTTCTTTTTTTTTGTTTGGTTTTGTTTGGAGGGGATTTTTTTGTTGTTCTGGGTTTTTTTGTTTGTTTGTCTTGGTTTGGGGTTTTTTTTTTAGCAATTATGGGTCAAAGTCTCCCATCCACGAGCAGGAAATTCTTTGGGATCGACGGAGGTGTCCTGGCGTGAGAAACAACCGGCTCATTCCCGGGAAAACGAGATCCATGAGGGCTTTATAGGGAATGATCCCTTCCTTCCCTGCTCTCTCCACCAGGCAGCTCAACGTTGAACAGGGAAGAATTTAAAATTTCGGCCTTGGCAAGAAACAAAGGAAAACTCAGGCTGGAAAATGGGATAACTTGGAAATCTGGAGACACGGACGGGGAGCTGGAGAAGGATCCTCCTAAAAATCAGGCCAAGAAGGGCATTGGAGGCTTTTCCAGGACATTAAGGAGCGATTTCTCTTTGGGAAAGACTCACTTGATTCCAGGAATGGGGTGTGGGAATGAGGGATAGGGTGTGGGAAGAGAAAGGAATATGGGCATGGAATCTCTTCCCACAGAACGATCCGTGGCCTTTCCCGTCACTCACTGGCTTCCCATCCCGCCCCTTCCCCCTTTTGGGATCCTCCTAAAAATCAGGCCAAGAAGGGCATTGGAGGCTTTTCCAGGACATTAAGGAGTGATTTCTCTTTGGGAAAGACTCACTTGATTCCAGGAATGAGGTGTGGGAATGAGGGATGGGGTGTGGGAATGAGGGATAGGGTGTGGGAAGAGAAAGGAATATGGGCATGGAATCTCTTCCCACAGAACGATCCGTGGCCTTTCCCGTCACTCACTGGCTTCCCATCCCGCCCCTTCCCCCTTTTGGGATCCTCCTAAAAATCAGGCCAAGAAGGGCATTGGAGGCTTTTCCAGGACATTAAGGAGCGATTTCTCTTTGGGAAAGACTCACTTGATTCCAGGAATGGGGTGTGGGAATGAGGGATAGGGTGTGGGAAGAGAAAGGAATATGGGCATGGAATCTCTTCCCACAGAACAATCCAAGGCCTTTCCCACCACTCACCGGCTTCCCATCCCGCCCCTTCCCCCTTTTGGGATCCTCCTAAAAATCAGGCCAAGAAGGGCATTGGAGGCTTTTCCAGGACATTAAGGAGTGATTTCTCTTTGGGAAAGACTCACCTGATTCCGGGAATGGGGTGTGGGAATGAGGGATAGGGTGTGGGAAGAGAAAGGAATATGGGCATGGAATCTCCTCCCACAGAACAATCCAAGGCCTTTCCCACCACTCACCGGCTTCCCATCCCGCCCCTTCCTCCTTTTGGGATCCTCCTAAAAATCAGGCCAAGAAGGGAATTGGAGGCTTCTCCTGGAGGTTAAGGAGTGATTTCTGTTTGGGAAAGACTCACCTGATTCCGGGAATGGGGTGTGGGAATGAGGGATAGGGTGTGGGAAGAGAAAGGAATATGGGCATGGAATCTCTTCCCACAGAACGATCCCTGGCCTTCCCCGCCACTCACCGGCTTCCCATCCCGCCCCTTCCTCCTTTTGGGATCCTCCTAAAAATCAGGCCAAGAAGG